TAATTCATGCAAGACCTGGATTATCAGTTTTGCCAGATTAAGCTTTCTAAAATACAGCTTTTACTATAGCACTTTCCTCCTCAGTGGCTCCTCAGTGTCCACAGAGGGAAATCTAAGCTTCTCAGATTTCATTATCTTTCATAATCTGATCTTAACCTATTTTTTTCATCTTCATGAACCTCTTCACTTTTGTGAAATCTACCTAACGCCAAGTGGTGTTCATCTTTCTTACCTCTTGTCTGTATCTTTGGTGATACCATTACACTTATCTAGAATTTTCTTGTCATCATCTTTGCCTATTGATCTTTTGTTGCTGTGCACCTTAGGTATCCAGAACTGGATAACACATACTCTTTGGTTTATAACACACCAGTTTGATTAGTCCATAAAAGAGCTTCTTTTATGTTTATTTGTATACATTAAAATTTTACCCACATCTACCTTAAATCTTACAATTTCAAGAAAGTGCCCTTGCTAAAAGAAGGCTGCTGCACTCCGAACAATTACAGCACATACTACTGATAGTCTAGATCAGTGGTGGTGAACCAATGGCACTCGTGCCACAGCCAGCTCTTTGTTATCACTGAAGGTTCTAAGATGTTCGCCATCGCTGGTCTAGGCCATTTCTAGCATAAGTCAAGATCACGTGATGCCTGGCACCACTGCTGCATCTGCACACACCTGCAGGCAGTCAATTGTGCCCTGCTAGGTGGCATAAACCTGGTATTTTGTTATAGCTCTATAGCAGCTCTCACCAAGTAGTGTTGTTTTTCTATCTGTGTCCATCTTCCCTCAAAGTCAGCAAGTTTGTTAGGACCAGACTCTGTCTCTCTATTCATCTTTGCACCCCAAGTGCCAACCACAGTGCCTGACTAGTAATGTTTAGTAAGCAGTCAGTGCCCTGGGATTTTCTGAGAAATTAGATTATACACTCCTGGAAACCATAGCAAGCCACACAATCCCAGGCAAAGGATGGACCTCTGACTGGTATTTCTTTTGTATCTCCCATGTGCCTCACAAAGTACTGAGCAGATAGAAGTATCGTAACTACTTTTTGATCAATGGAGGCCTCAGCTCCCTTGGAAAATTGAGGAACTGTATACTTAGGGAGAGTAACGAATTTATCTCTGCTTTTCCAGAACTGTCCAGTTTGAGGCAGAAAGTTGTATGTCTAGGAATTCCCCCCATCCCTGGGCAAACAAGGCTGGCTGGCCAGCCAGTTTAGAATCTCATACATATACCAACAACACAAATGCTAACACTCTCTCTCCTTGTCCAAGTCTTTTAAGGAACACTTTTGCAAACTTAACTTGAATTTCTGTAAATTTGAGAGTAACTAAAAAAGTTTCTTGATGATTAGTCTAAATTTAATTGTATTGTTATTCCCCCTAGTCAAAAAATTTCAAACACAACTAGGAGATTTCTCTTTTCAGAATGGACTTTCTTTTTCAGAGTGGTGGGGTAGAGAGCTTAAAGAGACAGACATCACTTAAGGCACACTGGGCATGTCAGGCCCAGCAGGTGAATCTATGCCTTTAGGCAGAGGCCACACCCACTGGGCCAAAAGCTGGGGGTAGGGCAAGTTGCTATAAACCACCAACTTCCTTTGTGCAAGACCAGCTGCTTTGGATCCTATCAGAAATCTTTTATTAAATCTCTAAGAATTTTCATATTCTCCACACTGCTCCATTTTAATTCCATCCCATGCCCATTGTTATTGAGGGAATATTTACTTGCTATTGAAGGAAGTCATGTGGGATGCATAGTCGATAATTTCATCAAGGAATAACTTATCTTTGTGCTTTCAGTGGAAAAGGGAGGGAAATGGTTCACTCAAGTAGCTTATGAGCTTTTGAAGAATATTTACAAAGAGATATTTTTTAGACAGAACAAGAGATTATTATTTTCTCATTTCTAGTAAAAAAGCAGCAAAAAAAAAAAGAAAAAAATCAAAGCCTGAAACAAAACAAAATAGTTAAGAGATATCTAGAAAATATAGTGGCCATTGATTTCCATATTTCTCACTTAACAAATGCCAAACACAAAAGGACCCATGTTTGTTTTGAGGGAAAGGCCCAGCTGGGAATGATCGTGACTGTAACTTACGTGATGAGGGAGATGTTGGTTCTTTCACTACGGAAGGGAAGCACGTGGTAAAGCAAAGGCAAAACCAAGACAAAAAGCCAAAGGTGACAAAACTAGCAAAAAGAAAATGTTGCCATAGTGGGTTCTGGAACTCTGACATATTTGCAGTTCACACCGTTTACATCAACCAGCAGCTTCATTTTTCCTTCTTTTGAGATTTCTAGGTGAACAATGTCTAATTACTGAAGATGTTGTCTTAGTCCATTTTTGCTACTATAACAGAATACTGAAGATCAGGCAATTGATAAATAACAGCAATTTATTTCTCACAGCTCTGGAGGCTGGAAATCTAAGATCAAGGCATCAGCAGATGTGGTGTCTGGTAAAGGCTTTGTCCCTGCTTTTAGGATGCCACTTCCTTGGTGCCTCCTCATATGGCAGTAGAAGAAGGAGGCAGCTCAGGCTCCTGTATGGGGTAAGGAACCCCATTTGTGGCAGTGAAACTAATGAACTAATCATCTTAGAGAGCCCACCTTCTTGGTGGTTAGGTTTCAACATATGGATTTTGGAGGATGCATATATTCCAGCTATAGCAAGGGTGATTCTCTTTTATGCCAGGAGAGTGCTACCTCTAGCTAGCAGTTCTCTCCACTCCCTGAGCTAACCTTGGTCCCAATGATCACGATGTCTTGCTTAGGCAGTTGTAGTAATTTTCCTGCAGCCACTCCACACTTCCTCCCTATCTGTATTTCACAATAGAACCAATGTTCAGATTGTATATATAATCATATCTTCCTCCCCTTTTATCTTATTCTCCATTTAACTCCTTCCCTGGGGATTGTTCTGGCTTATGTCTGAGGTCCCCCAAAGCCTCAAGTGGTCATAGGTGGGGCTTTTTCAGAGGTGGCTGGATCTAGAGCACGTGATGCTGGCATTGATTCACAGCACAATGCTAGCATCAAGGGCAATAAGATTAAGGGTGTGAGTGCTGCCCACCCTAAGTAGCCTGGATAAGATGTCAGGGACAGAAAGAGCTGTGGTTGGCTCTGTGGCTTTTGCTATCTTCTACATGCAATGAACTATTTCTCCTCTGCGATGCCCCTTTGCCATGTGCCACTCTGCCTTCGAGCCAGCCAACTATAAACTGAAACCTCTACAAACTGTGAGCCAAATAAATCTTTCCTTTCTTAACTTTGGGTGTCAGATATTTTGTCTCAGCAATGAGAGATAAATAAGCTAGAAAGGGATGAAATACTCCAAGGTTGAAATCTAAGAACCCTAATGTAGTCTCCGTGACCTGGTGCAGTTTGTCCCCACTTACCTTTTCACCTCATTATACACCACTCTCTCCATGTCTCTCTGCAACTCACCCAGGGCTCATCTAGTTCCTCACTCAGCTATGCTTTCTTCCACCACAGGACTTTTGCACCTGATGCTCCTTCCACCTAGAGAATGCTCTCTCTCATTCTCCAATGGGCTAAGTCCTTTCATTGCTTCAAGGTGCTGCTCACATTTATGTCCTCAGGAAAATTTTCTCAGGGACCCATCCAGTCCAATTCTCTTTTGATATGTTCTCCCAAACTTGTGTACCTTTCCTTAAGATAATTCATGTGAGCATATAAAAGCAGACTCATTTTCATGATTAAGTAACCTCTGTCACCAACTCTGTAGGCCATAAAAGCAGAGTGTTTTTGCTCAAATTTCCTCCTCAGTGCTCAGCTAGCTAGGTGATTGACACCTGGCAACCACTGGTCAACAGCCTGGAATTTCTTGGAAGGACTTGTTTCAGGGATGACCCTTGTATGCTGGACAGGCTTCGTAAAACAAGGATTGGGCTTGGAAATGTAAGAGGAAAATTCTATCTCTGATTCTATTCTTTGGACTTTATGGAAGACATAATATATTTACTTTGATTTCTATGAGGACACAAAGAATTGAAAAGCTCTGTGGCCACCACACTCACCATATCAAATGTGCTATTCTTCCATGATCTGTGCTGCTGTTCATTGTATTAGTTTAAGCTTCAGGTGCTGGTTTGGCTGCTATAATAAAAAGACCTAAAAGTGTGATGCTTAAACAAGAGAGAGAGATCTGTCTCACAGAAAAGTCTGGGCCAGTGTTCCAGAGCTGGAGTGTTGCTCAGTGGTGTTGGTAATCCAGACTTCTTACATCTTCCTGCTGTGCCATCCTTAACCTACAGCTCCATGCTGGGGTCCAAGATACACGCCTCACTGTCCCTGTGACAGCCATATTCTAGCTATTGGGAAGGGAGAAAATGGACAAGGAGGACTTATCATTTTTCTTTAAGGACATGAGCTATAAGTTACCCACACTACTTCCAATTTCACTCCATTGCCAAGAGCAATAGATGGTAACAAGGTACACTGCATTGTTATTTTTAAAAATCAGTGTGCTTCCCAGTAGACTTTGGGTTTCTGGTGGCCAAGAATCTTGTCCCTTTTTATGTGACACCCTGTAGTGCCTAGCCAAGAGCTTGCTACACAGCAGTAATTGCTTATTTAATTAATGGAGTAAATCAGACTTGGTAGGGTCCAGAGTAACTGCATGCTGATATGGCAGTGATTTCATAAACTAGAAATAGCTAAGTCTTTTTGACTTGCTCTACATAACATCTTATGTAATTCATCATGCAAACAGATCAAAGGTATTTGAAATGAGATTCCAATATGGTCTTCACGAAGTATGTTTTTCTGGGGAAAGGGTCCATGAGATCTTCAAAGTGGTTTGTAACCTGAGAAAACCTGACATTGATATGAGGATTTTCTAGTGCATTTACTGAAATTCAAAGCCACTTAAGATAAGAAGGCAAAAGAGGAAGGCAGATGGAGGTCAACTTTTTACCTATTCTACTGAAAATGCTGATATTAAAAAATGTTGCTTATGTCCTTTGACAGGTGTTCTTTGTACCACTGAGCCCTGGATTTAAGCCAGCTTACTCCCTGGACTGCACTGGATCTGAGCAGACCATCTCAACCCCTCTGCTTGCAGCAGCCATCCGGTATCCTCAGAGGAGACAGGAGGAGGAGGAGGAGGAGGAGGAAGAGGAGGAGGAGGAGAAGGAGGAGGCGGCGGCGGTGGCTGTGGGCCACTTGCCCATTTTCTCCCATCATGTGAAGCCACTCTGTCTTCCCTGAGGCAGGGAAGGGGCGGGCTGGGCTTCGGTGGGGAGAGGCCAGGAGTCCTGTGCTAATGAGACTCCTTTCACCCGGAAGGACACAACAGATGTGCAGAGAAAGGGCTTGGCTCCTGACAACGAAGGTTAAAACAGAATTTCTGGTAAAAACGTCCTGTCTCTTCACTACAATAACAAACAGGTTAGCCCTGGTAAGTTCAAAACCTTCATTGCCCCCACAAAAGTGGAACACACGAATTATAATAGTCACAGCTTACACTTCTGCTTATTTGAGTTATGTGGGAAGCATCTTTAGGAAGTCCCGCATTTCCTGATTTTTAGCCTCAGTGTTTGTCATCCTGGGTGCCAGAGAACCTGCCTCTGCCTTGAAAGTTCTTCCTCCAGCTGAGAAGCAGGTGGCCCACAACAGTTATTCTAGTTCAGAACGATTAGGGGACAGGGGCATGGAGAGCTTCACTTGAGTATCCCCACCATTCCCAGCCTCATCCCCATCAGCTTATTTGGGGAAAGCGGAGAAATAGGAAATGGGAGACTTGAGCTACCAGAGTCTCTGGGAGACTCGGAGGTTCTCGGCACCTCAGTCTCTTCCCTCAGTTATGTCCCTATTTGTTGGTGAGCAATACATGTTCCTGTTTTGAGAGCTCTCTAGGGTGTATCCTTCACAAATGGTAAGGCAATTGGGCATCCTATGTGCATATAAATGATACCCTTAATAATCACCGACTAAATATACCATGGCCTCCTTCTGATGTCTCAGGAAAGCAACCCGGCATTCCCAGGGCCTTTGCAGGGATTTTCCTTGATTCTGTAAAGCCTTGAATAATACTGAAGCTCTGTAATAACACTGAGCTGCTTTTGCCCTTTTTTCTAGTCTTAGCTTTGAACATTATAATATTAGTTGTTTAAATTTTCATAGAGTCCAAGGTTCAGAAGAGTTCTGGGGAAGTCATTTAAATTCATCCTCCTGCAGGTCTCCTGGTAGGGCTGCAACTTGGCTAACAAAGACAAATGGTTTCCTATCTGATTCTGAAAGGTCTCTAGGGGAAGATTCCCTAACCAACCACAGTAATCACGAATTGCTAACATGAGTGTGCCCCACTTTAAGAAAACCTGACTCGTGAGAGCCTGTGTGGCAGGATAATTTATTGAGATACTAATCTGTGCATTGTTCTCTGTAATGTGCCTGCCCCACTCTACTGGCTCCATGGAACTGGCCCATTTGTTGTCCCTGCTCACTGAGGGGATAGACTGTACTTATGCTGTGATCCTATTGCCCTGTTACACAGAAACATAGAGATACAGAGTCCTCTTGCCCCTGTGCTAATCCTAACCTCAAGGTCTAGCTCCTTTAGCACCTGTGTAAGGAGGCAATGCTCCTGGGAGAATTTGCCCTTATCCTAGGAGACACCCCGATTTGGCTCTTCATTAGTTAGCTATGTCTTCTTGGAGAATGCTTTCATCTCTTTAACCTCTGACCCATTATCAGTAGCATGAAAGGTTGATTTAATGAGCTTTAGGTACTGCCCTGCTTTTGATTCGGTGGGGTCATCAGTCTCTTCCTGGAGCAGCTGCACAACATTTGCCCAAAGGCTTTCTGGGTAGGGCAGCCAATGTCAACAAAGGAAAGAGGATCCATGCAGCATTTATGACCAGCTTACGATCTGAAATTCACACTTAACTGGACATCCTGTATTTGCCAGCCAATCTTGTTTGGGGCCATCTGTATTTTGGAAGATAGGAGGCTGAAGGTAGAAGAAGTTGGTTTCTTTTTAGTCTTGTCTAGATTGGACCATTGTTCGGGAGATAGGCTTGTGTGTTTCCTCTCCCTCCAAGCAGGCCCAGTTGACTTTCAAGTTTAGAGAATGGGCATCTTAAAATGAAAACTATCCTTGCACAATCTTCTTTAGAATAAATATTTAACGGGAAAAAAAAAGATCTATGCATTTTGCCAAAGGTCAATTTTTCTTAGCTTTCTAGAAAGGACAGAGCAGACTGCTGAATCTTCAAGCAAAGAGAGACCAGCTGTTCAATGGATCAAAATGATAGAAATTCTTCCACACCACCTCTCCCCAAGAGGACCTGACTAGTGTGAGCAGTGGGAGTTATATTTTTCTCTTGTCCTCAAAATTTCTATGATACAGAAAAGCAAGTGGAGTCAAAGTGCAGATTGTTTTTTCCTATAACATGAGAAACCTTTAAAAAAGTGTTCCATGAACTTTCTATTCCTTAAGTTTGAAATTACATTTAATGCCACACTATGATTTAAAAAAAAATCATTTGTGAATCAAGCCATCCTTGATGACAAAGACTGGGCTTCCTGTAATTTCTTGACACAAAACAGGTTAGGATCTAACCCTGAATGTGGAAAGAAACATGATTTATGTTTTATCCAATTAACACATACATGACCTTTGGGTGAAAGGAATGTGACCTTGAGTAAAAAGATTCCTTATTTATCCCATGTTAATCAAAATAAGTTACCAATACATGTAGGATGCAGTAACTCACCAGCTCAAGGCTGAAGGTTGCTAAAATATGTAGAAGTTATAGCATCAAATAATCCTCACGCATCACAAGGAGGTCACTCTGTTAGTTTTGGGGACAAAGTTGGGAAGTCCATTGTCCAGTGGAATTTAAAGCTTTGGGAATCAGAATCACCTGAATTTTGAATGCTCTCAGTGCATCTGTGTTTGAGTTTTGAGTTGAAATTAGCATAAGTCTGATCTACAAGAAATGAGTACCTCTTAAAGATACCCTTTCCTGAGAGAGAGAGAGAATCCAAGTGAAAGCAATTCATTTATTGATGTTCAATTTTCCTCAATGCCAGCCTGATCTCTCCCTCTCTTTTCATATTTTACAGTCTAAGCATTATGTGAGTGACAGGAGTGACAGGAAATGCCCCAAACCCGATGGATTGCTCATAATTTGCTCTGTGGAGAGATTTGGCTTTACCTGCATTCCTGTGAAGGCAAGTGTGGAAGTATTTCCTGGCTGTAAAAAACCACCAGTGTGATGAGCTGGGAAATCCTCAAGATTTAGAGCCACATTCAGGATGAGGCTTCTCAAGGGCATTTCAAAACAACTTCACATGCTCCAGCATTTTCTAAGGGGCAGGACTTCTGCAGTGTAGATAAAATGGTCCAACTTTTGCCTTGGAGAGAAGGAAAAAAATACCTGTATAGGTAGATAACTGTATAAAAGGCAAGTGTTATAGATACTTAGCCTTGGCAATCTTTTGATCCCCAGAAATGTGAGAGGGTAGAACTGGGGGAGCAGAGGCTGGGTTGAAAGGTGGTGAGAACTCAGATCAGACACAGTGCTGCCTAATCAAGGTCGAGCCTTACTTAGCTCACTAACAGGGAGAGGAAGAGCCAGCGAATCTGACTTTATGATTGCTGTTTCTCTCTTTAAAAAAGACTGGGGAAGAAGGAAGGAAGGAAGGGACAGGCTTAGACTCTCTGTAGGTTATTTCTGAATAATAGATATATTTTAAATTCTTGTTATGATTAATCAAATCTATGTTCTTTTGGAGTAGAAAACTAAATGCATGCATCATTAATGGCTTACTGTACAAGTACAATCATGCAAATTTAGCAGTCCACTATTCATTCCGATTGAAAACTCTGATGATAATAGGTAACTTCTAATACCAGACAGTATATCGAGAGCTTTGCATGCATTATTTTCCTCACAACAACAGATGAGGAAACTGAGGCTTAGAGAATCGAAGTGAGTTATGTGTGGTGCCAAGAGAGTTCAACCCCCACGGGTCTCACTGCGGTGCTGTGGTCAGAGCCATTATGCTGTATTTTGTCCCCTGCATCCCTGCCGTACTCACGTCCTTGCAATCAGGAAAAGAAGCTATTTCGATGCTAGGAGGAAATCTGTGGCACAGCACACCCGTCACAAAAAGGCCTTTGAAAATCCTTAATGACCAGGCTGAAATAAATAGACAAAATGTACTTATTTGGTGTAGGGCATGGTTTACTGCTACAGTGGCTCAGGAAAGACCACGGGGCCAGTCCCTTGAAGGCACAGCCTGATGACAGAGCTCGCAGGAAGAGTTCCACACCACCACATTCTGGGTCAGGATAGTAAGAGACTGAAGCATCTTATAGGTGGCTCCAGAATTTAATTTTTTGCCTTTTGGCCTCTGTAGATGCTGAGAGAAATAATACAGAAATAGGGCTTTTCAGATTTTTAGGAGATATTTAAGTGAGAAGGCAACATTTCCTGGGTAATAAAGGCTGGGTAGGAAATAAACCTCTTCCCCTTCTCACTGAACCAAGACAACACTGAGCAGTAGAAACAGTGTGGGTGGCCTCATGCTTAAGTGGAAGGGAGGGAAGAGACAGGTCTTTTAAACTCCCAGACTCAGTTTCCTTCTTGGAACCAGGGGATTCGAATGCTTGCCTTGCTGGGTTGTTGTGAAGATCAGAGATCACCGTGGGAGTGTCTGGCACAGAGAACATACTTGGCAGTGACCGTTATTACAGGTCTATGGTTGTCACCTGGTGGATGCAAGAAGGTTAAGCTAAGAAAGGAAAGTTTTTTTCTTTTTCTTTCTTTTCTTTTGCAGTGCTGGGGCTTAAACCCATGGCCTCACATGTGCCAGCCAGGTGCTCTTCCACTGAGCTATACCTCCAGTCCAAGAAAGGAAAATAGTTTAAAGGCCAGAGGAAAAAAGAGGGAAGAAGGGGCTAGTGGCATCTGGCCCGTGAGCCCTGCTGTTGTGCCTCACTAACTCTGTCCTTCTAATGAGCCATATGCAGCCTCCAACAGATGAGATCTGGTGTCTGCAAAGACAAAACAGAGCTAAAAGGCGACGTAACGTGGAATTACAGCCTGCATCTCCCTCTAATGAGCCAGCCTGCTTGCTT